CACTCATCTGGAACAAACCCACTATCAAATTTTATTTTAAAGAACTTCTTAAATAAGGCTTAAAAAGATGACAATGTATAAATATGTTCATTTAGAATGTTATCATACCCTGCGGCTTTGTCATTTTTAATTATAAGCTTCTGAACTTCAACTGCTGCTATTATATCACTAAAGCTGGTTTAAGCCAGCTTCATACTATTAAAAATAAGAAAAATGATTAAGTATTTCACTTTTGCTTGTTTTTTACTATTTATTTGTATGAAGATATTTTTCCCAATTTCAACCAAATATCGCTATTTTTCCCAATCTTGATGGCCCCGGCCCCTGGAATCAAAGGGTGAAAAAATCCCTGGGGCCATGATCTGAACAATTCATAATCTACAATTCCTTTAGGTAGCATTTATATAAGTTTCAGCTTTTCTGCCACAGTGGTTCTTGAGAAGGAGATATCTAAAGATTTTTCCTATAAGTAAGTAAGTTTTGTGGCCAAATTGTGCCAGTCCCCTCCCCCCCCCCCCGGTGGCAAGATTTAAATAATTTTGAATCTACACTACCTCAGGAAGCTTCCATATAAGTGTCAACTTTTCTGTTTCATTGCTTCTTGAAAGAAGATGTTTCAATGACCCCATCCTATTTGCATTTTCTTGATGATCTCCCCTTGGAAGGGAACTTGGCCCTTCATTTTAACAATTTAGAATCCCCTCTACCCAGGAATGTTTTGTATCAACTTTGCTTAACTTTGGCCAAGTGGTTCTCGAGAAGAAGTTGAAAATGTCATCTAGTGTGATTACATTTTTTATTACTTTGATGGGGAAAAATCATAAAGCTGTAAGTTGAGTTTTTTTTATTTTTTTTAAATTCTAATTGCTAATAGATCCAGTTTTACATAATGCCAATGTTAGCTTCAGTAATTTATGCATAATTAATCCCATATTCCAAAAAATAAAAATGCCTTTTCCCTGCATTTCCAGTGTCTCATGTTAGAGTGGGAGGGAGTTTAAAAATTTGCAAGATTTCAAACAGCTACATATCTCTGTTATTTATGTTTCTATGACACCCTTGATGACAGAAAAAATTTGAAGAATTTATAAATATTGTAAATGTTCAATCATAATTCCATATAACATAATTGTATTCTCTGCTGTTGGAAAATCTTTTCATTAAGGATCTCTATACACCAGTGCAAAATGTTTTTTGGATATTGAGAAAATTATATTGAATAAAGGTGTAAATATTGAGCTTCTCTGTCTAATTTTCAATATATACGGTACGTGGCATTTACCCCCAGGAAAAATGTTCAGAGACGACAAAGTATCAATGAACAGAAATCACTTTTGTTTACTTCCGTAGAGAAAAAAACATTCAAATAAAGTGTTCAATTAATTTATCTTCACCTTTTTAAAATGTTAAGAATACTAAATTGATTACAAATTGAGTATAATATACTGTACATTTCAATTTATTGGAATTGAGATCTAAGGGCAGATCACTCCAACTGCAGAAAAATACCATAGAATCAGAACTCTTTAAGGTGCAGTGTAGATGGGGTTCTTAATTTTTTTTTAAATCCCTGATTGGAAGTAAATCTCTTCATTTTGAATTTCAGTGGTTGCATTAATTGAAGTTATACCGGCTGTTTGCACTTTTATAAAACAATCATTAGAACTAAGAAATAAAAGGTCCACATCGGTGTAACATATAAGGAGTAAATTACTTAAATTGTGTCTACTGTATAAATACATTCATTGTTCTTTGTTTTTTTTTTTTAATTATGGATTGTATATGTAGTTCGTATTTGTTTAATATATTAACACATAACATGGTATGCCCTGATGACAACAATGGCCAATGGTGTAGTATTAATTATGTGTCCTGTTTATTATGGAAAATAGCTAAATAGTGAAAATTATCAGTATGACTGTCAGTTGCAAACATCTTTTTTTTTTAATCCCATTTTATAAATAATTTTATTTTACTTTTTTATCTGGACTACATGTATTATTGGTGAAGTTCTCTGTCTTTTAAACTGAACCTTTAATTTTTTTTATACTGGCAAAATTACTGATAACATACAGACTTAATTTTAAATTTATTGATCCTCCCAAAATTGCCGGTCTTGGACCAACAGACTGTCATTAAGGTAAATAAATATTACATGTAAAACACTGATTCATGATGATGACTGTAGTATGAAACAATGCAGGAAAACATATACAGATCATGCTGATACACAAACACGTCATTATGAACTCAGATCATTAGAACTTCAGGTAGTGTTTGTTTTTTTTTCCTGACATGTAGCTTAATTTTCACTATTAAATGAATATTATATAATTGCATTCATACCATAAACTTCTCCCTGCTGTGTTCTGAGAATCCATGAACATTGATAATTTCTGATCCGAAATCAATGAATCTACCTGAAATGTATGATAACATCAGTTTTAAAACATGAATTCCATGATAAATAAACATGATAAATAGGAAAATATTCTTAATTACTGTAACTTAGTAGAAGTCGCATCATTTTCATGAATCATCACAGCTATATACACATATTCTCTCAAAATTGCCCCAGTGCAATAATGAGTGCATGTCAATAAAATGACCAGTATCAATCTTGAAATTCTCATACTTTGAATTAAGGCATGTCACTGTCTAAATGCACAGCATGTCTTTGACATTAATATCAACTTATATAGCTGCACTATATCCCCAGTTTGCCAGGGCTAGAAGACCACCTTGAAGCAGGGACCTAATAATTATGGCTATTTTCATTCTTATGTCGATACGATATATCCTGGTGAACTTGAGATAAAAGATACCACAGAGTCTGACACATCTGTTTCATATTTGGATATTTTACTTGAAAAAGACGTTAATGGTAATCTTACAACCAAGCTTTATGATAAACGTGATGACTTTAACTTTTCAATCGTCAACTTCCCTTACTTATGCAGCAATATACCTTCATCACCTGCATACGGGGTATATATCTCTCAGTTGATTCGATACGCAAGAGCATGCTCTACGTATGTACAATTTCTAAAACGAGGTAAATTATTGACAAATAAGTTGATGAAACAAGAATATCAGCTGTCTCGTTTAAAGTCATCATTTCGTAAGTTCTATGGTCGATACAATGACCTTGTCAGCAAATACAATTTGTCATTGATTCAAATGCTGACTGACGTTTTTCATACTAATTGTTAGGCCATTATTTACACACTGAATTGTCGACGGATTTTTCCGTTATTTCCCGATCATGACAAGGAGCACACGGTGGGTGTGACCGGTCGGCAGGGGATGCTCATTCCTCCATGGCACCTGATCCCACCTCTGATGTTTGGAGGTCCGTGTTTGCTCTGCTCCTATTTTGTATTGTATAATGGACTTTTGAGCTTGAATACTGTTCGTTATTTCCATATATTTCATTTCAAGTGTTCAAAATTGGTCAAAATATACATTTTCCAGCAAATGTACAGCTATGTGTATAGTCTGAATTTTGTCGGAAAACTCGTCAACCCCCCTTCCCTTTCCAATTGCTTGCGATTTATACACAAAGCTGTATGTAATGGACTCTTAAGGCGACGGAGAAGTGTAGATATTGAATATAATTAAGTGTAAACCGAGGCACTCCAGGAATCCAAGATGACGAGTGTCGAACCTTTCGTCTTTTTACATACAGAAATATTATATAAAATTTTAAAAGTCCTAAATTCAGCGACTTCTTTACTTTAATAAATGTATTCAGACACACCTATGAAAACACATAATACAAAAAATACACAATCCTTCAACCAAGCGCCTGTGGTTTAATACACCGCGACATCCATCACTGTGGACTTTTTAAAAGCTTATTAAAGACTGTTTTAAGAAACAAGAGAAAGAAGTGCTGGTGAAATATTTTGCCTTACATTTCGTGAACCATTTAAGAGAAATTTAAAAATTTAAGAGAAACTATATGGCATTGTCTTATTATATTTTTATAGATACTTTACTGATGCGAAGTATTGTGGCTAAGCATTTTAATTTGAAGTTAAGCAAATTAGGACTGGAACTTGAACTTTCTATAAACTTGTGTGTGTGTGAGGGTGTGTGTGTGTGTGTTTGTAAATCCTGTGAATTGGACACGTGCTTTAGACGGCACACGTTTAAATGAACACGGAAAAATCCAAATGAAGACGAAATGGTGGTGTTCAGTTGGATTTTATCATAAATCAACTGGAAAATGTCCTAGGATGCATCCCATTTCAAAAAAATGAAGTGTTAATTTGACCGGATGCATGAGATCTGTGTAATGAGTGTGTATAAGATGACCACGGATCCATCATTTTTTCTTCTCGGCGAGACTTACACACATTGCGAGTGCGCATGCTCGTTACATCAAATGACGTCGTAAATGACATCATAATACAGTACCCGTTTCACACTTAGTCATGTACACGAGGACGAAGTAAACTTTGTAAAAGGTAAGTGAAAAATCTGTAAATAAATAAATGAAAAATTTCATGTATTAAATATGGCCTATGAATTAATGAGTAAAGATATGTGTCCATTATGACATTACGGCATTATTGTCTACTCAATATTTTTCCTACGGTATGTATACATGTATATGCTGTATAGTTACAATGTGCATCGTTGCATGATTGCAGTATAAATGGTTAAAACCAATATACTAAAAGTTATTATTATTAATGTTAGTAAAAACATAAAGAAATTTTTTCTATATCTACATGTATGTCTCTGGGAAGGTAAACACGTTCCGTATTGGCATTTGTTGTACTCGCGGAGAGAAACTATTTCTCAAAATCTGCATCTAATATTTCAATTTTATTGAATCAACGTTGATCTTTTGCAATGTGTAGCAAAATATATTGTCAAAAATTTTAAATGTTTTCTTGCGTTTCGCATCTTGTTTATGTGTCATGTCAAGTTCGAAGGTTTCGTATTAAAAACGAAAGTAGAGTCGGTCACGCCTTGACTGTTACGGGCCGGGGAAACGTTCAGTCTGCCTGGGTTATATATAGGTACGTGGGCTGCTAAAATCATTGTTAATATTGTGTACACATTAAGCTGTCAACTAAAAAAACACATGTACTTCTGAGGCGTGAATATTAGAAATAATTTCTGCACATTTAAATTATGAAAGGGGAGGGGGGGGCAGCTGTTTACTTCTCCCAGGGACATAATGATATAATTGTTAAGCATGTATAGGTCACTGCTTCAAAGTGATCTTCTAGCCCTGACAAACTGAAGATATAGTGCAGCTTATAATATAAGTTGATATTTATGTCAAAGACATGCTGTGCATTTGGACAGTGACATGCCCTAATTTTAATGTACAAAGATTTCAAAGTATGAGAATTTAAAGATTGATACTTGTCATTTTATTGACACGCACTCATTATTTCATTGGGACAATTTTGAGAGAATATGTAAATATAGCTGTGACAGGGGCCTATATACTAGTATATTGGTCCCTGACTGTGATGATTCATGAAAATGATGCGACTTCTACTAAGTTACAGTCATTAAAGAATATTTTCCTATTTATTTATCATCCTGGAATTCATGTTTTAAAACTGATGTTATTATTATAATACATTTCAGGTAGATTCATTGATTTCGGATCAGAAAATTATCAATGTTCATGGATTCCCAGAACACAGCAGGGAGAAGTTTATGGTATGAATGCAATTATATAATATTCATTTAATAGTGAAAATTAATTTAAGCTACATGTCAGGAAAAAAACAAACACTACCTGAAGTTCTAATGATTGAGTTCATGTTCATGATAATGTGTTTGTGTATCAGCATGATCTGTATACGTTTTCCTGCATTGTTTCATACTACAGTCATGAATCAGTGTTTTACATGTAATATTTATTTACCTTAATGACAGTCTGTTGGCCCAAGACCGGCAAATATTTGGGAGGATCAATAAATTTAAAATTAAGTCTGTATGTTATCAGTTAATTGTGCCAGTATAAAAAAAAATAAAGTTTCAGTTTAAAAGACAAAGATCGAACTTCACCAGTGATACATGTAGTCCAGATAAAGAGTAAAATAAAATGATTTAAATGGGATATTAAAAAAACGATGTTTGCAACTGAAAGTCATGCCAATAATTTTCATTATTTAGCTATTTTCCATAATAAACAGGACAGATAATTAATACTACACCATTGGCCATTGTTGTCATTGGGGTATACCATGTAATGTATTAATATATTAAACAAATACGAACTACTATAAATTCTCTTTTATTGTGTGCACACTTTCATTTTCAGCAAAAAAAAAAAAAAAAAAAAAAAAAAAACAAAAACAAAAACAAAAAAAAAAAAAAAAACAAAAACAAAAAAAACAAAAAAACAAAAAACAAAAACAAAAACAAAACAAAGAAGGAGGGATACACACTTATACATGTATTTATTGGGGTATAATGCAACCACTGAAATTCAAAATGAAGAGATTTGCTTCCATTCAGGGATTTAAAAAAAAAAATAAATGAAAATTAAGATTTTCCAAATGCAGAGAATACAAGTATGTTATATGGAATTATGATTGAACATTTACAAATATTTATAAATCCTTCAAAAGTTTTCTGTCATCAAGGGTGTACATCATAGAGACATAAATAACAGAGATTTGCAGCTGTTTGAATCTTGCAGTTTTTTTAACTCACTCCCACTCTAACATGAGGCACTGGAAAATGCAGGGAAAAGTCATTTTTGTTTTTGTTTTTTTTTTTTTGAATATGGGATTAATTATGCGTAAATTAGTGAAGCAAACATTGGCATTATGTAAAACTGGATCTATTAGCAATTACCGGTAGAATAAAAAAAATCAAAAATTTCAACAGGTTTTATGATTTTTCCCCTCAAAGTAATAAAAAATGTAATCACACTAGATGACTCTGCTCACTTATTTACATTATCAATAGAAAGGCCAGAGAAGCTACATTTTATATATATACATGCATATATATATTTATACAATACATGTATATGCTTTTAAAGCAGAAACATTCCTTTATTTCGACAGTTGTTCATTGTTAACCATAATTGTTAACATTATCTATTCAACGAAATTAAATCCCACGTGAAATTTTACATTTCAGTATAATGAGTAGGGTTACATTCTGACAACGAAATTTAATGCCCACAAAACCTTCTCAGATAACAAATAACAAAATTTTATCCCCACGAAAATTTGTGCTTCTACAGTATATAATCAACACCTTAATGCGAGTAAGACTTACAGCAGATGCATTTAGTATTTTTAAGTGCAGTGACTGGAAAAGCACAATAATTACTCAGACCAAAGTCAACTTAAATCATTATTTAGTGTTAAGGAACAAGTTGTTTGTAAGTGTATTAAAAATACTAAACAAGACAATAAAAGACAAGACAATAACAACCAAAAATATAAGGGGCCTCATAATCTTTTAGAGGGAATCATTATTAAGTACATGTCTCTGTAAGAATCAGGCAAAAGGTGAATCACGAGGGTTCTCAGAATTCGATGATTTTCCACACATAGATTTCTCTTGTGCTATGAATCATGTATGCAAAGTGAAAAAAGTTTTGGGTCATGGTTACTATGGAAAGATGACAAAAAGAAATTTCCCTAGCAACCAGTCAATTTTCCATGTGAATGGACAAATAAATCACTAATCTTTAGGGCTTGAAATTGATTGTGAATATTTAAGTATTTCTTCTTATTCATTCTTATCGTAAAGATAAACATTTGAAGTGTTTTCACAATGCATTTCATTGAATTTTTTTTTTTTTTTTTTTTTTGAGATATATCTTTACTAGACATGGGTAGATAGGCATGTTTTGTGTTTTTTGCTGATTCAGCATTTTTGTTGATTTTGTTACTTTTCAAGGCCTTATAACTCAAACTTCTGGCGTAATACAGGAGTTACAAATATTTCGCATAAAAGCAGAGGAATGTCTCTTTTGGACTTTTAATTCAAAAAGGTGTGTTTTTTGAAAATTCCTATCCGTTGCCTAGCAACAAAAATGGATGATTTGATGAATAAAACTGGAAAATCGCACAATGTTAAAATCATTAATCTAATAAATTGTTATCTGAGAGTACAAAAACACAGTTTGAAATCAGAATATATAAATGAGACATCTTTGCAAACCAAGAAATATTGTAAAGATACTTATCCCCATGGCAACAGCAAATTCTCCATAGCAACAAAGCAAATAAAGTCACTTTTGGCACATATTTATGAACAATTGTAGAATATTAATCCACAGTTTGGTAGCATATTGCGATTAATCAAATTTGTTTTTGTAGTAGATGTCTTAGCAATGTACACTTTTATAATTTTAACCCATTTTTATACTTTTAACCCATGGCAACAACATTTGAGCACATAAGAATCAAAATATGTTATGGAGAGTTAAGAGCAATTTTCTGTAACCACTTGAACATTTTTTGGCACGCATGGTCACCGATTATCATGAAACCTTGCTCATTACAATAATAACGGTTATAATAGTTTGACAACAGAAATTTAAATTAATCAAAGTTTGGTTGCAATGTACCTTGGTTGTCATGGTAACAGACAGGATGATTTAAACAATATTTAGATTTTCGGCTACTTTGAATCTTTATTGACCCTTCACAAGCACTTAGAAAACCAAATTGGCCGTTTACATATATGAAAAAAAAAACCCAATAAACCTTGTTGCCATTTATTATGTAAAGAAAGTTTTTGGAATATATCTCTATATAGGTGGTAACCATGGCTACACTCAGCATACACTTTAAATGGAGAAAAACGCTCAGTATTTTCTTATTATAGGAGTTACATGACTTAACTTAGTCGCCAGTGATAAAAAATAAAAATACTTGACCTTATTAAAAAAGGTTTTAGCAATATTATTTTTGCAATGAAAATATCAGTTGCCAAGATGACACAGCATAGTACCACAATTTGTGCCTAAGTTATAACACAACAAAGAAACATTGGGGTATAAAGGAATCACCTGTCTGTCTATTTATGTGTCTCTTTGTCCTCGATCATGTCCGGGTCATAACTCTATAATGCTTTGTAATGTACAAACATTACAAGTTCATTCTTTATAGAAAAATTGTTAATAATCTGAAGGTGTATTTTGATTTTTTTCCCAAGGTCATTTCAGCTAGTTCAAGGTCATTAGCAGCTAAAAGTATAAAATTCCTGTCTGGTCTATAACTGTCTTTTTCTGTATTGCTGGTTGAAATTGGTTTAGCGGTTCTAGAGAAGAAGTTGAACATGTTCAGAAGTTAACGCACTACGGATAACGCACGATGACAAACAAAAACGGATAGCAATAGGTCACCTGTTGACTCAGGTGATCTAAAAAGTTGTTTAGCCATGTAATTAACCATAAATTTAGGGGGTATAAGAAAAAAATCAAACATTGTTCCCTTTTTATCATGTCAATCAGTTTCCTTCACAAAAAAATTATGCTTCCTGTCAGTTTGTCTCTATATATAATCAACACCCATCTATTTTCACATAGTGTTCTAAGAATTTATAAAGCGTAAGCAATATACTATGCCGAAATAGTGCACGGCTTCTTTTTCTAAAGAAAATCCGACATCACCCACGCCATGGATCCAACTCACGATCACGAAATTTTCAGTCCGACGTGCTACCGACATGACGCCATTATCAAACACTGTATTTTTATGTAAAATAAACCTAGTTTCAAATATTTGACGCTTAAAAGGAAACAAAACATTTAAAAAAAAAATAGTTTCTTATAGTTTTTTATTCCTTTATTCAATAAAAAATCTTTGAAACTTTCTGTACATTTTACCTAACTGCATGAAACACTCAAAATTATGACGTAATTGTTTCACATCATGACGTCATAATAGGGGTGTATTAGCATGTTAGTAAGAGATGATGAAACGTTGGAAATCGAAAAAAAATTGTTGCTTCTATACAACAGCATAATAATAACAATAGTGTTGTGCAGCATATATCAAACCCTGACTACTATTTAGGCATAGTACATGCAAAGCCCAACACTATCACTTGAATCCACACTTTTCAAAACTTATGTCCCTTGGCCGCCATCTTTGGAGAAAAACCCATAGAACCCTCACAGTAGGCTTTGTAGTTTTCTGGTTTGTAACTTTGTCATTTGACTAGAAAAAAAATGCTTTTATATTGATTGCTACAGGATACGGCTACGCATACATTGAAAGAAAAGAATTTAAACACAATGGATGCATCGGAGCACGCCCAAATGTTTGGAAGGAAAAGGTCGTTCTTTCATTGTTGACCCCACAAAAGGACACAACTTTTGCAGTGTGCATTGGATTATTCACCAAAGTGATGTTGAACACTGAACAGCCTATTAATGTCCCCAATTTAACATTCAAAATTTATAAATGTTGATACAAATTAATGAGGAGAATATCAGTGGTCCTGATATGATATCTACACTTTTATCCGAAAGTGACATTGAACATTGCCGGAATAACCTTGGATCAAGGCAACAACATACCTAAAGGCCATTTGTAATATTTTTGTTAACAATGAACGTTCAATAATTTTCAATTAAAGAGCTGTGTACTAGAAATGACCTTGACCTTGCCAAAATGGCCTTGAATAAATATGAAGACACACCCCTGCGTCATTAGCAATATTTGTGTCAGGTATGGGCT